CATAGCATCATTAACTGAAATGCTATGTTAATATATAAAACATTAACCTGTATATTGTATATACCATGTACACATAATAATGCTGGTTCGAAGTAATTTATTAAAATAACTAATTTAATAAAATATAATATTTTGTGCTGGTATAGCTCATCACGGCTGCCACTAAACATGAGCCACTGGCAGCATTAAGGTGTTTTTAAAGAAAGGTAATTTGTTAGTTTGATTTCCCACATGCAATAATATAACAAGTAATTTAACAGCCAAACTCACATTAGGAAAACAATTATAAGAAATACATGGCCTACACAGAAACTAAATAGACTTTTTTTTTTTGTCGGTTGCGGGGCTTGAACTCTGGGCTTGGGTGCTGTTCCTGAGCTCTTCAGCTCAAGGTGTGCGCTCTACCGCTTGAGCCACAGTGCCACTTCCGGTTTTCTAGTGTTTATTGGAGATCAGAGTCTCATGGAGTTTCTTGCCTGGGCTGGCTTTGAACCACGATCCTCAGATCTCAGTCTCTTGAGTAGCTAGGATTATAGGCATGAGCCACCGGTGCCTGGCTATAGATAGACATTTTAAACAATTATCTATTTGGAAAGAAAATAGCTTCTTGTGTTATACATTACTCAATAATCTTTTTGGATATGTTTTATTCTCCTGTCCCAGGAAAGCAGGGACTTTAGTTATTAGATGCTATAATCAGTTTTCAAGACATAGTAGCAGCTCAGCTCAAAAGTATGTGTATGAAAGAATGAATCTTGATGTAATTTTGTTATAATACTCTGATACTCCATGTTTATGTGTACAGTTCAAGGTTGACTTTAAGATGTTAGAAGCAATGAAAACAGGTTGTAAAAATTGCATATTAATCATCTATAAAATTATAACGGCTTTCATAAGCAGCTCTCCCTTTCACTATTATTTTATGTTTTGAATTAGTTAAATTTTGGTGAAGTTTTTGGTAGTGTTTAAAGGATGGTTACAATTTAAAGGTATGAGTTTTCAAAATACTTTTGACTGCATACCATCATTTTATGGAACAAATTGATATTTACCATATGCATTCTGAAAAGGATTTTTTTTTCTTTTATTCAATTTCATACTTAAATTCATTCTTTCCACAACCCGCTATATTGGTTTCATAACTCAATTATTTTCATAGTTTCAAAACTACAGATTGAAAACATTATTATGGAATAAAAAAGATAGCAGGAGAGGGCTGGGAACGTGGCTCAGTGGTAGAGTGCTTGCCTTGCATGCCTGAGGCCCTAGGTTCGATTCCTCAGCACCACATAAGCAAAAAGAAAAAAAAAAGCCGGAAGTGGTGCTGTGGCTAAAGTGGTAGAGCGCTAGCCTTGAGCTGAAGAGCTGAGGGACAACGCCCAGGCCCAGAGTTCAGGCCCCACAACCCCCCCCCCCCCCAAAATAGCAGGAGATTCCCAATCGTCTCACATCAAGGCTGCCACTAAACATTAAAAATCCAAAATAATGAACCCTAAACAGGCTAATGTTTAGTTAGTATCATTTATTATTTTACACCAATATATAATCAAGAATGATTATGCTACAGATATTTCATGGAAACTTTTGACATCAATATTCTACAAAGTGAATGAATGTAGAGCACAAGTGTGTTCTAAAAAGAAATACAAGGGCCAATGGCTAGTGGTTCATTCCACAATCTTAGCTACTTTGTGTGTATTTGTGCACACATGCACATGTATATGTATGCATTCTTTTACTTCTATTTGATGGATATATCTCTGATTCAAAAAACACATTTTTAATACTTGACACTGTAGCCTAGCTTGTCTACATTGTCCCTTTAACCTTTTTTTTTTGGGGGGGGGGGAGGGGTCCAATCATGGGGCCTGAACTCTGGGCTTGGGCACTGTCCCTCAACTCTTCAGCTCAAGGATAGCGCTCTACCACTTGAGCCACAGCACCACTTCCGGCTTTTTTCTTTTTGCTTATGTGCTGAGGAATCGAACCCAGGGCCTCAGGCATGCAAGGCAAGCACTCTACCACTGAGCCACCTTCCCAGCCCCTCCCTTTAACCTTTCTGACCACACTCAGCCTCACCGTACCTCTGGCCTTGTACTGACCACTGGAACTCCTACCTGGCATCGACTTTCATGAAGCAGAAATAATTTCCCGTTTTCTGTAAAGCTATAAAATATACTTTCCTATAATTATCATTTCAATGGCAAGACGATGATGTGCCTTTTACATTGATTGTTGTATTTGCATAAGGTAATAAGCTCCACATAAATGCTCTTTAAAACTCTTAAGTATAGCCAGCACACAATAAACCTTCAGCAACTATGCATTACATATAACAGCATTTAGTACATAAATGACCTTGTGTATATAAACATCTATATATATACACATATATATGTATTCAGATATATACATAGATGTTTATACATGTATATACATACACTTACATAGACATATATACACACATATCTACTTATTCTCAAATGTGAAACACACACTTTGGTAAGTCCTGTGAAAAATAAACCATCAGTCAATAACTGCTAATATTTTCTGTGTAGCTAGTTCGCTAAAAATAACTCTAGTGAGAAATTACTATTATCATCATCATCCCTATTTATGGATGAATACACAGATACAGAAAAGCTAAGTGATCTGCTGAAAGACACACAGATGCAAGTGTTACAGTTAGGACACAAACCCAGGAAATCGACTTCTAGAGTATAATTTCCCTGTGTTAAATAAATCCTGTGAACATAGACTTGGCTTTTCATGTGGCATACACACCAATGACAACTATAGAACATCTTCAAAATAACTCTACGGAAAGTCAATCTACAAAGAAGAAAATTCAGGAAAATAAGTTCTTAAAGTTTTAGTATGACTTGTTATACAAATGACATATATTATTACTATATATAAGTCCACATTAAAATGGACCTCAGTCTAAGAAGGTGTTTCTGTACCCTCTGCTTTATATAAGATGAATTATAGGCATGCTCATGTGAATTAGCACAAGCAATTTATCCACATGAACGAACAGACTTCCATTGATACCCTAACCTGCAGTGTTAAATTTAATAATAGTTCTAATGATCATATAACCTTCCAATGTTTTAGAAACCAATTTTTCAAAAGGGTTCATTTCAATTATATAAAAACAAATAACCTTGGGTGGTTCATTTGAAGGATGTAATATAAAATTCTCTTATGATCGTCAGAACCTGCACATGTACCTCCAAATAATAACAGGGGGTTGGGTCATAAGTGGGTCATAAGTGGGTCTTAGAGCATTTGCCTGTCTTAGTAAGCCACTGGTTTCAAACCTCATCATCATAAAGGAGTAGTAGTAGTAGTAGTAGTAGTAGTAGTAGTAGCAGTAGTAGAAGTAGTAGTAATAGTAGTAGCTATTGATTTTTCTCTATATAGATTTCATATAGTTGATTAAAAGCTCAAATGAAAGGTGAGTGAGCAGGGGGGAGGATGTGAAGATGTGAAGGAATGGGAAGGGGAAACAAAGGAGGAGGCAACAACGCTTGATAAGAAATGTACTCATTATCTTGCCCATGTAATTGTAACCCCTCTGTACAGTATTTTCACAATAAAAAAAATTTAAAAAGCTCAAATGAAGAATATCTATGGATAATATGAATTTACTTTGACTGAACTTTTCATAGTAAATATGACAATCTCCATGTTAATTTACAGGGAAGCAAATGCGCTCTACAATAATTTCAACAACATTAGTTAGAGAAGGAAAATATTTTAGAGCATTTCTTTTCCTGTGCAGTCAACAACAACAACAAAAGTGTAGTCACTATATTCTTCAACTCTCACTGCTGAGAAACAGCACTGGAACCATTTCTCCTATGTTAGTCCCCCCTGATTCAGATATAGACAACCATTGCAAAGGTTCCCAAAGAAACATTATTGATTATCTGCTCCAAAAATGTTTCATTACTAGAAATAACTTCTAAATCAAATCAAATCAAATAGTTTACTAACCCATTAAACCCATCAGTTATTGTCCTAAGTGGTAAAATTTATTTTCTCCTTTATGCAGTCTCCAAAGTTCAACTGCTTAAACCTGATTCATACTCTAACTCAAGTTAAAATCTTTAATTCACTTTTGTTCTTTTCCTAATTGTGAGAATCATTTCAGGTTTGATACTCACTAACTAAAAGCTAGAACCTTTCTTTGAAATCCAGTAGATTGTAAATTTGTAAACTGTAGTTATTTGTTAGTAAAATTTCAGGCAGCAAATTGAATCTTTAAGGGCCTGGGATATGAATGAATCTTTTACTTCTCAATTAAAATGTAGTAATCCTCAGAATAAAACAACAAAACTTTTCATTTCCTAATACTCTCATTTGTTTATTCTATTGGGTGCCCAATACATTTATTAAAAACATTAATTCCTTTTGTTCTCATTTCCAGGTTAGTTTATACTTTTAATCTGGGCAATGCAACATTAGGATGGTTTTTGATGTTTTGTTTTGTGCTAGTCCTGGGGCTTGAAAACTCAGGGCCTGGACACTGTAACCTGAGCTTGTGTGCTCAAGGCTAATGCTCTACCATTTGAGCCACATCTCCATCTTTAGCTCTGTAGTAGATAATTGGATGTAAGAGTCTCACAGACTTTCTTTCCCAGACTGGATTTGAACTCTGATACTCAGATCTCAGCATCATGAGTGACTAGAATTATAGGCATGAGCTACTGGCAACATAAAGATGTTTTTAAAGAAAAGTAATTTTTTAGTTGTTTGATTTCCCACATGCAATGATATTACAAATTATTTAACAGCCAAACTCACTTTAGGAAAATAAATACAAGAAATACATGGCCTAAATAGAAATTAAACCTATATTATCTATTTGGAAAGAAAATAGCTTCCTGTGTCATGCAATAAATGTGAATAAGAAACATTTCAAAGATCAACCATAATTAGTAATAATAGTATAAGACAGTGAAATTAAGTCATACCATATAAACTATTTTTACCTTTGCATTATAAGGAATGTAATGTTTGGATAAAGCTTCAGGTGTGTGCATCCATGTTTTGTCTGCAAGAAGAAAAACAGCATTAAATTAAATTCCAGGTACCTGTGGTGTCACAAACATGGATTAACATTTGTAGGGATTCTAAAATGATGACAGCATTTCAGAGATCTTGCTAAATTTAGAATGAATAACTAGTTGAATATGAGAACAATGTAGCAAGAGAATGATTACAATCTTTTATCATAAAAATCTTTCACTTTTAATTTTTCAACATTTGATACTGAAGTTTTAAAATATAACAATATCAATGAGCTATGAGTAATATCAAATATACAATCTTATTTTACGATTAATGTTCTTAATTCTTAGAACAATTAAAAATAATCTAGTCTTTACTGTTTGTGAATTTCTTTAAGTAGTAAGACTCATGCATAATCATTTCGTACATATTTTTTCCAAAATTTTATATTAAGCAAACAACTATATTTGTATAAAGTTGAAATAAATCACTCCACTCTGTTAAAAAAAAAAAAAAAAGGAAAAACAATTTTAGGTTAATCTTTATGCATTTGTATAAAGCTGAAATAAATCGACTCTGTTAACAAAAAAAAAAAAAGGAAAAATAATGTTAGGTTAAGCTTTATGCCAAGTTTAGGGAAACACTAGGTGAAACTTACTATCGGGAGTTTTACATATAAATAATCTTAACTGCCATAATAGTTAATGCAAGACAACTTCCATAAAGCATTTGAAACAAGGGTAATTCAAAAGGAGGAATATTGAAAGTCATTATTGCATATTATTGATATTTTATTTGTATTTGTATTATTTATATTTTCACTCATTTTTAAATTTTTATTTATATCTTTCAAATAACTTCCCAAGCATTTTGTTGAATAGTCAAATTGATTCTTCTTTGAAATTACATTTGTTTTTGGTTAAGACTTCTTAAAATTCACATGTATTTTGTTTCTGACAGTGAAGTTTTAATATGCATTTTATTTCTTTAGAAAAAACATTATTATAAGTAGACTAAGGTACATTTTGCATAACAATAATAAATATAGATTCAAGGAAATTTATTTAAAAACATTATAAACAACTATTTGACATAATTAAAATATTATTTTAAACTGGAGGACATATATACAGACAAATGATAAACACCCCTCCAATGAAACTTGTTTATATGATATAGTACAATACTCATAAGAATTTCAAAGATGAAGAACAAAGGTTCAATACTATTGGTCTATCTCTACCTTTGGATTAAATAGATAACAGTGATACCTGGGTGAAATATTTTTAGAAACAATGCATTCAAATCTCCAAAATGTAACATTGACAATTTTTTTAATGTGTTAAAATTTCATTTTTCATATAAATTTCCATTTCAACAATGATTTGCAATTAACAGAAATGTGATTAATACACAAATAATTTGGTTTAGATTTGGGAGATATCATTATTTTTGTAATAAAAGCACCTAATTATTTTTATAATGAAAGCACCTACTTTGAATATATTAAGTTTAAAACTAAATGCTGTAGGATGCATTGGAACAGTTATCCAAAGTATTCAGTAAAATAAATAATTCATAAATATTCAATTTTAACTGCTCTATAATTTATTCATCAGCATGGCAATGCAAAAAATCAAAGTGAAGCTAGGTGCATATTTGCTGCATTTATTTACTTGTCAAATAAATGTTGTTCTATACATTTTACTAAATGGCTTATTTATATATAAGTGTAATAGAGTTTAGTACTTTGAGATTCAAAGAGAGCATTAACATGAAAAATGTGTAAAACAAATGTAATAACTACAGTTCAATCAGTGATTATGATGTTAGAGTAACTGTTAATTAGCTTTTCAAAACAGCTCAAAATGATGCAACTCTGATCTAATTCAGTCTTTTTCATAATTTGAGCAACTCTAACATCATTACCATTTGCAAAGAAAATTAGTGAGATATCAGCCTAATTCAGAGATGTATTTTGTAAAAGAAAAGAAGTGTGTTTAGACACAAGATACACATCTTTTTCCCTTTGACTTCAGAGGCATTTAGTATGGTTGTATTGGCTGACCAATTACACTGAACTTCTCTAAAATAAGAAATGAGCTTTTACTGAAGCCATTATACTTTGTTTAGATACTATGCACATTATATATTGATACTAGTTGTTTCAAATGACGTTTGAATTATATATTATTGTCTTGGAATATGATTATAGCTCCAGATGTTAGGACACATGAATTTTTTCCTAAAATTCCATTTTCTCATAAAATTCCATTTTCAGGCACCAGTAATCCACATCTGTAATCCTAGCTAATTGGAGGTTGAAATCTGGAGGATTCTGGTTTGATGCAAGTGTGGATAGAGAAGTCTATGAAGCTCTATCTCCAAAATAACCAGCAAAGAGCCAGGCCAGAGGCATGGCTCAAGTGGTATAACACCAACCAAGCAAGTACAAAGCCCTTAGTTCAAACTCTGGTACCAGAAAAACAAAATCACTTTTCCCATCTCAAAGTAAAATCCTGTGAAACAGTGCTGTTAGTTAATACCAGGAGTAGAATCTAAAAAACACTAAAATCAGGACTGAATAACAAAGTTAAGGTAGAACTTCAGGTACTAAGTTCTAACTTTGTTGAAACAAAATGTTGGTCAATAATTTCTTGATTAGAAGATTATATCTCAAAAATAAGATTGGGTCAAGAAAAAAAATAATGAAGTAAATAAGGAAATAACTGCATCTTCTTCTTGGTTGTCCACATCAATCCAATTTTCCCTATGGCTGGACTCCTAATGGGCAAAACAAGACAAACTCGTAATTGCTGGTTATTCATATTACTGCCAGCCCTTGGGATTTTGCCAGTGAAAAGCTAATCTGATTTGAGTTGTAATGTAAAGCATTTATTACTTTATTAAAACTACTGCAGTAGAACATAGAATACTTTCTATACTTTGCTATTACTAAAAGGAATAAAACAGAACACCATTTTACTTTTGAAAAATAATTGAAATCCAAAGCAAGTTATGGATTACAAACAATGTCATTTTACTTCCCTTTGCTCAGAAGAATAGCAAAATACATTGTTAGCTTCACAGGCTTGAAACATGCCTTAAAGGTCACATTGCCTAAATTCCTACTGAATACATTAGTCTTCTGTACCACATCCAAATGTTTGAACACTTAGGGACAAAAATTTTACATGACTCTATTGGAATATTTTTTCCTACATTAAATCAATGACCTTATAATTTATACCTATTTGTCCTTTATTAAACAAAGTCCCATGGGGACTGAAAGACAGGCCTCATCATGCACCAAGAGTTCTTAACTGCACTTCCTGTTCTACAGTCAAAATGCTGAGGTTATTCCAGCCGTTCTACTGGATATATAACAATGTGTTCTTTAACCTTTGACACCGCTTAAAGAGAACACACTATGCTTGAATGCTTGGAGTAGATGGGAACAGGCTGATCTCTGGTTTTGGACTGTTCAATATTCTTAAAAAAATGAACGGCAATATTTGATTATCACAGTATTGACTTTATTAGTAAGCCATTTTTTTGCCCACATTGCACTTAATATTCACTTAAGTTATGACAATATAGGAATAATTATAAAAATAATTGTTTGGCAATTTACACTAAGTGTATAATGTAGAATATGACCTAATTGGTCATCACTCCTCACATCTGCAATCCTGCCCTATGAGTCATCTCTTCCTGCTTTCAATCATGTGTGACTGTGACTAACAGTATTTAAATATTCTATCCAAATTCATTGATTTGTGTTAAGTAGGAGAGCAATCCTGTGTTTGCCACTAGAGAACCCCTGCAGAATGAATGGAAACATTATTTGAAGTTCTTTGGACTTTTAGGAAATTGTGAAATATTTCTTTGCTATGAATGTGCCATGAACTGTTTTGTCAAAGGCCATATTTTCCTGTCCTTAAAACAATAACACATAGCTACCTACCTGTTTATTTTATTTACTTCCCGGTGATTAGACTACATTAAGCTTATTTCTCTTTAAATTTCCACCTAAATATTAACAGTAAATTCATTTTGATTTTATTATCAAATCATCTTTCCTCAATCTTCCAATATTATTCAATAATACATAAAATGTACACACATATACACACATGTACATAAAGGCAAATTAATTTATATACCACAACTTTGCATATAATAAGAAATAAGTATTATAAGGCTAAGTTAAAGTTGGAAGTAGGTTTCAGATCATTTTATTCTTTGCAGTTTTATAACACACCAAAAAACTGCCAAGAACATACTATCATACATATGTTGTAAACTAAGTGCATATACTCTTTGATAGACAAAGATTGTCAGGTAATATTTGCAAACTTGCGTTTCTCCAACATCATTTTCTTGAGCTTATAGTTTAATTACAGAAAGAAATGATTTCTTAATAGGTTTATTTTATTTTCAAAGCAATACTGATTTGATGAGGTCTCTTACCTTTCTTCCTGCTGAAAGCACGGTTCATGATGAGGTCGCACCAAGTACGTTCTCAGTTTGATCACAGTTTATAGCCTATAAAAAGGACAAAATGTTAAAATAAATGAAAGCCTGTTTACCAATGTCTTTATGTTAATAAAAATGTTTATAAAGATTCAGGTTTTCTTTTTCTGGTGCTGTACTCTAATATACATAGGGAACCTATGAAATAATTTTATAGGTTTAACAGGCAGAGGTAGCTTTGTTGTTGCTCTAGAAAATAAATTTCCTATAAGGTCCACACCTGGATGGTGAACAGACTCCACCCTTCTCCCAGCAAAGTCTCCACCTAGTACCTGCATCACCTAGGCAACTGGCACACCTGGAAGAGGTCACATCTGCATCTGCTGGGGTCACATCTGAATTTGATGTGGCCACACCTTTCTCCGCCCATACCCTAGATAAGGCCTAACCCAGGCCCAGACGCTCTTTTTTCCCAGGTCTCTTTCCCAGGCCTTTCCCAGGCCTTTCCCTGCCTCATGGAGGGCCAAGATGGCCTAGTGCCAGCCGGAACGATGAATAAACCTACCCCTTACCTGAATACCACATGCGTGGTGTGGTTCTTACTCGCTACCTCTTTTTAAAAACCTAACATTTCCTTCAACTGGCATTTTATAACCTTTCACTTCTATTATTTTCTAGAAGAACTAGTAGTGAGGCATATTTCAAGACAACTCAAAAACTTTTTCAGAATTAAAATGATTTTTTTTTTGTTCTTTCAAGTAACTTACAGTTTCTAATTTTTCAGGATTAATGTAATCATGTTAAGAATTATCTGTTTAGGGGGATGGGAAGGTGGCTCAGTGGTAGAGCGCTTGCCTTGCATGCATGAGGCCCTGGGTTCAATTCCCCAGCACCACATAAGCAAAAAGAAAAAAAGCCGGAAGTGGTGCTGTGGCTCAAGTGGTAGAGCGCTAGCCTTGAGCTGAAGAGCTGAGGGACAGTGCCCAGGCCCAGAGTTCAAGTCCCATGGCCGGACCCAAAAAAAAAAGAATTATCTGTTTAGGCCAGGCACCAGTGTCTCATGCCTATCATCCTAGCTACTCAGAAGGCTGAGGTCTGAGGATCATGGTTTGAAGCCAGCTCAGGAAGGAAAGTCATCTCCAATAAACTAAAAAAATATCTGGTGCTGGGCTCAAGTGCTAGAGCAAAAGAAGAGAACAGGGACAGCCATCCAGGCCCCAAATTCAAGCCCCAGGAGCAGGAAAAAAAAAATCTACTTTTATTATAATCTAGAAACCTGATACAAAAAGATTCAAAAGAAGTTCATCTGTTTCATTAAAGAACCAAGTTTTATGGGCTTCCATATTTAGTCAACAAATCTTACCCACTGTTCACCAGGGGTTCCAGTTAAAGACCACAGGGGTTCCAAAAAGACCACAAAGGATACATAATTCAGCAAGCCTTCTCTTATGCCACCCCTGGAGTCAGATTGTCACTTCCTGCCCAAAGACCATGATTATGTTATCAAGTCTTTTATATTCTCTTTCTCCTGTCTTTCTTACTCTTGTCTTTCTCTCTCCTCTCTCTCCTTTTGGTGATTCTGAAATTTGAATCCAGCAATTATTTGGCTTGCTTACTCACCTAGCACTCTACCACCAAAGCCATACCTACAGACTGATATTCATTGGCTATTTTAAAGATAGATTTTCATAGACTTGTCTGCTAGGGCTGACCTCAAAACTGTAATCCTAGGAAATGTACTCATTACCTTGCTCATGTAACTGCAACCCCACTGTACAATATTTTTACAATAAAAAAGTACAAAAAAACCTGCAATCCTCTGGATCGCATCTCCTGTGTAGTTGGTATTACAGGTAGGAGTCAACAACATCCAACTCAAGTTGCTTATTCTTAAACATGGAGACCAATATAAGAAGCCAAAGTTCCCAGATCACTCTCATGCCTCACACTCTGACCTCAACACACTGCATTCTAAAATAGAATCATTCATCTTCCTAATCATTGGGAGACATTTTTGTGTCATCTGGCCTTCATAGTAAATAAATAAGTATATCTATCTATCTATCTATCTTAGTTTCATTTGTTATTCATGGTAAATCATTATCAAAGTCAGTAGCTTATGCTTGTAATCCTACTCAGAAAGCTGAGATCTGTGGACAATGGTTTGAAGACAGCCTATGCAAAAAAATCTGTGAAACTCTCACTTCAAAAAAACACCAAAAAAGCCAGAAGTGGAGCTGTGGCTCAGGAGTTCAGCACTAACCTTGAACAAAAGAGCTAAGAGATAGTATCCCTAGAACTGAGTTCTAGGCTCAGTATGGGCTCCAAAACCAAATAAATATATACATTTTTGTTTTCCTTGAAGATTCCCCCTACTCTGCTACATCTATTTGATGAAAAAACAAGCAAACAAAAAACTAATTCTCCTTAAGTTCCTTTGAGAGAGTGGATACTTACTCCTTGTATATATTATTCAATTCTACCAAGAAACAGTGTACAACTAGGGAATTAAGAGGTATTGCATTTTATTAATGATAAGGATTAAAGCCAGAATAAAGGCTGTTTTATACTAATTACTGCTAAAAACAGGAGTAAAAGAATCAAACTGCTTTCAAGCAACTTCAATAATTCAAAGTACTCAAGAATTTTTTGAGAATTTAAAAATTATTTAATGGAAAAATTCATCATTAACAGCAATTCCAACAATAACAAACAATCTGGCATTCAGATAAGTAGAAAAATACAGTCAATAAGAAAAAAAAGATTAATGAAACTCTCAGAAATGGCAAAGAAGATAGTATAAGTTAAAAGAAAGGCATTTCTGTACAGCTAAGGGGTGGATTTAGGAGCAGTTTCTTAGAGATTTTAAACACACACACACACACACACACACACACACACACACACACACACACGCCAAATTTCTAGTGAAATCAGTGACAGGTTAGAAAGTAGAAAGAAGAGTGAAACTAAAGACACAGCTAAAGCCAGGCGTCAGTGGCTCATGCCTGTAATTCTAGCTACTCAGGAAGCTGAGATCTGAGGATCACAGTTCAAAGCCAGCCCAGGAAGGAAAGTCCGTGAGACTCAGATCTCCAATAAACCACCAGAAAACTGGAAGTGGTGCTGTGGCTCAAGCGGTAGAGCAGAAGAGCTGAGGGACAGTGCCAGGCCCAGAGTTCAAGCCCCACAACCGACCAAAAAAAAAAAAAAAAGGACACAGATATAGAGAAGTAGAAATAAGACAAAATCTGACAGAGAGCAAAAAGCTACTAGAAAAGAAGAAAAGAAAGGATGTCTGTATGCTTACTGGCATCAGTTTTCCTTTGTTTTCTTGATAATGAACATTCTAACTAGGGTGGGGTGAAATCTCAATGTTGATTGATTTGCATTTCTTTTATGGCCAGACATTTTTTTCCTGTGGCTATTTTGACTTCTTCTGAGAAGACTTTCTTTAACTCATTAGCCAATTTTAATAGGGTTATTGATTTTTGGAGGATTTTTTTCTTAATTCTGTGTATTCTGGATAATAGGCCAATTGACAATCTTCTTCCATTTTGTAAGCTGCCTTTTGAGCTATAATATCCTTTGCTGTGCTGAAACATTTTAAGTTGATGCAGTCACACTTGTCAAGTCTTTCTTTGATTTGTTGTGCTTCTGGATCTTTACTCAGAAAGTTTCTACCTACGCCCAAGAACCCAAATGTTTTCCATCCTCTGTCCTGTAATAGTTTCATGGTTTCATGTCTAACAATGAAGTCTAATTAATTTTGAACTGATACTCATGCATCCATTAGAATTATTTTGTACCATTTGTAAAGAAATTTAAAGACCTAGAAAAAATTATGTTAAGTGAAGTAAGGCTGAGAAACAAAGAATCCATATTTTCCCTAAATACACTGGGTGGTAGCAAGTGCATACAAATGTATTAATTGAAATACTATAGATTCAAGGGAGAAAAGTTAAAAAAAAATTAAAACATCAGGAAACGGGTAATTGAAAGGGGTGAGTTTGGCATCAAGGGGAAAGTTGTAGACAAAAGAGAAGAGGGAGGAAATGCAGTGAAGAATCCAATGTATGTTCTATAAAATGAAGATAGGATGGGTAGGGGAAGGATGGGTGAGAATATTGAAAGTGGTGACACTGATCAAGATATATTTTATTAATAAACTGCGTTGTTACATGGTGATTCTTTTGTGCAACTACTTAAAGTTAGTTTTTTTAAAAACTGAAGAAAAAAGATGGGAGGATGGAGAGAGAAAAAAGAATAAGAGGGACAGAGATATCACTAAATTATGGGAAAACTTGACATAATTGAACAGTTGCTGAAGGAGAAAGGAGAGGGAAGTGAGTATAATACTGTTGCAATAAAAGCTTTCCATATTTGATTAAAAATATACAAAGGGTGAACAAATGTAGCCCTGGCACTCACTAGACACTATGTTGATAATGAACTATACAACTTGTGGATGGGGACAGGAGGGAAAAACTACGAGAGGGAAGGAAGAGGTGACATGGTTCAAAAAGAAATGTACTAATTACCTAACTTATGAAACTGTAATCCCTCTATATATCACCTATACTAACAATAAAAAATATCGCTTATCAAAAAAATCAGTAAGCCACAACTATAAAAGACAAGAAAACTACCCCAAGAAACAATAATGTGTCATAATTAAATAGGAGAAAATCTAAAAATAATGAGAAAAGAACAAGTTAAGTCAGACGAATGATAATTTGTATGTATGGAGAGAAAAATAAGAATGATTTTTTTAAGGCCAGTATTTTCTCTTAAAACACCATTATAAATGTAGGATGTTGAAATTCATTTAATGTCTATAATGCCCGGTTATGTCCAAGTGCGTGAACAGAATATTTCAAAATAAACAAGGAAAATGTGTAATTCACAATTTATTTATAACTTATGAAAACAGTACTGTCCCATGACATTATACATGGTAACAGTAGACAAATCCTGTTGTTCAGTCAGCAATGAGGATAAAATAAACACTACTTTTAGTTCTATATAGAAAGCTAAAACTGAGTAAAATAAAACTGTTCTTTTGTGAATGC